GACCAGAGGAGTCACAGTGCCTGACCACTACCCCCCACCACCTCCCTCCCTGCAGTCAGGAAACTAAAAAGCAAAGTACCCATCAGCAGACAAAGGAGTTTTACTTGATGGTCCACCAAAACTTCAGCCAACAGAAAAAAAGGGGATTATATTAACAGAAATAGAAACCCATAGTTACAGACTAAGAGGAGGTGCAGAGAAACACCTCCACATCTCAGTGCTGTCAGGGTTTAAACTACCAGAGTGGGGCAAACTCCCAGGCAACTCCTGTATACAGCAAGCACATACCTGGTGCACACACACATGCCATCTACTACAGCAACAGTCCTCCTGTTAAAGAAAACACCAGCTGGCATAAGGCAGACACCAATTCCTGCAGATCTTCCTTGTGTCTGTATCATAGATATCATTTTAGTGGAAAAAAATGCAACTCATCTTCTAGCTCTCGAAGCAACAATGCCAGAGATGGAAAGTTTGCCTCAAACTAATGAAAAAACAGATATTAAAGTGGTGGCACGTACACAACTAGTCTATACAGATATTGGGTCTCATTGTGAAGTTGCCAAAGACCAGCTTGGTCTGCATCACAGACTGACACGCTACAAATTACACACACGGATTGACAGGTCTCATGTTTCAAGCTCAGGTCAGCTGCAGTGTTGCTCATCCCAAACCAGGATCTTCTTTCTTGCTATCTGCAGGAGGACCTTGGGCTTCATTTCAAAATTCTAACAGTAAGAGAAAAACCTAAGAATGTGAGCTTGAGAGACCCTGAAGACTTAAAAGAAACCCCCCACGCAGAGAAGCCAACTTTTTCCTGTCTACAAAACACAGTCTGAAAACCATTACTTTAAGTCAATGACTTGTTTTGCTGTGGTGACAATTTGTCACAGGCTGCAGGGACAGAAAGGAAACCCTGTAATGAATCAAAGGCTGTTTATGCAGAGCATTTAAAGCCACATATTCACCACTCATATAAACCAGCACAAGCAGATGGGTTGCCCTCAGCTGCGCATTCCCACCTTGTGCTGTCCCCAGCACAAAATTCCCAGTTACAGGGATCAGCACGTTGGTTCACTCTACCCTCTCCTACCCAACATCCACAGCAGTGCCATCCCAGACAAGAGGATCTCTTCATATGGTGGTACGGCTAGCTCCGGGTAATTAAAAGCTGCTCTCAAAAGAGCTTCCATCCAGAATGCATGGAAGGAAACTCCACTGCAGGTTTCTTAGCCAAAAAAAAAAAAAAAAAAAAAAAAAAAAAAAAAAAAAAAAAAAAAAAAAAAGTCATTGCACTCAGACAAGGTAGCAGACAAAATAACCCAGAATTTACTAGACAATGACTTTTCGGATAACCCTGCAGAAGACGCAGTAAAAAACAGCATGATCTGAACAGTCAAGCTGTCTATTTTTTCTGTTTTATAGTATCTTAAATCTTTCACTAAGAGTCAAGCTTGCTGAAGACTTTTGGACAGTGTGTGCTTGGGCAGACAAAGTGCATTTCATAAAACCACAGGGTGGTTAGTGTTTGAAGTGACCTTAAAGATCACTTAGTCCCAACCCCCTGTCACGGGCAGGGCCACCTTCCACCAGCCCCGGTTGCCCGAAGCCCCGTCCAACCTGGCCTTGAACCCTGCCAGGGAGGGGGCAGCCACAGCTTCTCTGGGCAACCTGTGCCAGGGCCTCACCTCCCTCACAGGGAGGAATTTCTTCCTCATATCTAATCTAAAACTACTCTCTGTCAGTTTAAACCCATTACCCCATATCTCATCACTATACCCCTGATCAAGAGTCCCTCCCCCCGTTCCTGCAGCCCCTTTCAGCCCTGGGGGCCGCTCTAAGGTCTCCCCTCAGCCTTCTCTTCTCCAGCTGAACCCCCCAACTCTCTCAGCCTGTCCTCACAGGGGGGGGGGGGCCCAGCCCCTGAGCATCTTCGCAGCCTCCTCTGGCCCCGCTCAAGCAGGTCCGTGTCCTTCTGCTGTTGGTGCCCCAGAGCCGGACCCAGCCCTGCAGGGGGGTCTCACAGAGCGGAGCAGAGAGGGAGAATCTCCCCCCTCGCCCTGCTGCCCACCCTGCTCTGGGTGCAGCCCAGCACACCGTTGCCTTTCTGGGCTGTGAGCACACATTGCTGGCTCACAGCCAGTTTTCCACCCACCAAAACCCCCAAATCCTTCTCCCTGGGGCTGCCCCCCACCCACTGCTCACCCAGCCTGGATTTGTGCTTAGGATTGCCCCGACCCATGGGCAGGACCTTGCTCTCGGCCTTGTTGAACTCCATGAGCTTTGCACAGCCCCACCTCTCCAGCCTGTCCAGGTCCCTCTGGGTGGCCCATCCCTTCCCCTCCAGTGTGTGACCGCACCACACAGCTCAGTATCACTGGCAAACTCGCTGAGGGTGCCTCAATCCCACTGTCCGTGTCGCTGATGTTAAACAGCACCGGTTCCAACACCCACCCCTGAGGACATCACTCCTCACTGCTCCCCACTGGGACATCGAGCCAGTCACAGCAACTATTTGAGTGCAACCATCTAGCCAATTCCTGATCCACTGAGTGCTCCATCCATCAGATCCACATCTCTTCAGCTTAGAGACAGGGATGTCATGGGGGACAGTGGCAAAAGCTTTGCACCAGTCCAAGTAGATGATGTCAGTTGCTCTTCCCTTACCCACCAGTGCTGTAACCCCATTGTAGAAGGCCACCAAATTCATCAGGCACGATTTGCCCTTAGTGAAGCCATGTTGGCTGTCACCAATCATCTCCTTATTTTCCGTGGGCCCCAGCAGAGTTTCCAAAAGGATCCATTTCCATGATCTTGCTGGGCACAGAGGTGAGACTGACCGGCCTGTAGTTCCTCTGGTCTTCCTTTTTAAAAATGGGGGTTAATGTTTTCCCTTTTCCAGTCAGTGGAAACTTCACTGGACTGCCACAACTTCTCAAATATGATGGATGGTGGCTGAGTCACTTCATCCACCAGTTCCCTCAGGACCCACAGACACACCTCAATGGGTCCTGTGAACTTGTGCACCTTCAGGTTCCTTAGATGGTCTCGAACCTGATCTTCTCCTACTGTGGGTGGTTCTTCATTCTTTCAGTCCCTGCTTTGACTTCTGCAACTTGGGTGGTGTGCCTGGAACCCTTGTTGGTGAAGACTGAGGCAAACAAGATATTGAGTACCTCAACCTTCTCCACACCCTGAGTAATCAGGTCTTCCGTTTCCTTTTGGAGAGGCGCCACAGTTTCCCGATTCTTCATATTTTACTATGAGTCCTTGCATTTCTTACTAAAACTGTCAAACACATCACCCTAAAGATATATAGCCACCCTCCCCATTAAGAGGTAGCCATGCCAACAAACCTTTCTTAAAACTGTTCTGTTTAACAAAACAGAAGTAATAATATTCGTCTCAAAGGCATACAATGCTGACTACTATACTCAAAAGACCCTGGGTAACTGCTTCCTACTGAACTATCCCAAAGAGCATCATCCCACCCAAAATCACATCTACAACAAGATACTTTTTCACTAACACCCCTGCAACATCCCAGTAGGACACACAGCATGTGGAAAATTAACAAATACATTTTGTTGTTGTTGCAAACAAGCATCTTCAGTCATGCTGCAGTGAACTGTGTTAAAATACTGTGCACCAGCAAGGCCATTGGAAACTTGGGAAGAATAAACCAAGTATTTCCATATCCCAGGTCACTCCATTTCAAAAAATGTTACTGCAGCAAGTGGAATGCCACGCAATAAGTTTTTAAAATGAACCTAAAACGATCGCTACAGAACTTACTTTGCTCAAGAAATGGAAAAATGGGTATTTCCACATTCTAGACCTAAACATAGCTGACGGCTCCCTCAAGTTTCACCTGAAAAATGTAATGCTTACAGGATACTGCTTCAAAGCCCTTCTGCATCTTCAAATGATTTGCAAGTCTTGCAGTTTGTCCTGTTAAACTGCCTGAGGACAATGGTACAATCTCTCCTCTGAAAACACTACTGCAAGGTTACCCAGGAACCTGACCTCTCAGCCCGAGGCACAACAGGAACCTTAACAGAGAAGTTACACAAAGACTAGTAAAATACAGGGAGCTTGAGAGTCCCCAGCAGGCAGACACTAATGATGTAAGCAAAGCACACCGTTCTTTTTCCTCCAGAGCATGAAATTTCCAACTTCTTTAGTTTAGGAAGCAGAATATCACAAAAGCTTCTGCAGAAAATGGGTCATTTGGAGAACAAGCCATTTCCACGAGTAAACAAAGAACAGGGGTTACATGAGCTTATGACACACTGCTGAATATGCACATTATACTCTAACATACCACTGAATACCAGAAAATTTAAGGGGATGGTTGTAAGCCACAGGACCTGACCTAAAGAAGCTGCTGCCTGAAACTGGGGACCACCACAATCCCCTCCAGAGCCCCAGAGGCATGGGTAGCACTGACACTACAGCACATTTCCCTCCCACCCCTGGGCTGGCCAAGAAATGCTTTGTTGCTCCAGATGGACAATCACACATAGTTTAAACACCTTTAGTTAGTTTTGGTTGGTTGGTTTTAAGGTGATCAAATACATCTTTACTGAGTGCATAGAAACAGTGAGTTGCATTGTGGTTTTGGTTTGTGGTTGTTTTTAATATTTTAAGAAAGTGACACAACTAAGGTTGGGCTGACAGGAAGCTCCAGGTAGCGGGCTTCTTCCACAGCTCACTCCCATGCCTGCTTCTCCATGCCCCTCCTTCCAAATCACACAGCACTGCCCAAGGCCTTCCAACAGAGAAGTCAGCACAAATTTTCACATTGCAAAAAGGCAACCCATATTCCTATAGCTTTAGGAACAATCCTGGGTGAACACTTCTGAACAAGAATAATCCCAAGCAGGGCAGATTTAAAGGTAAGTATCAGCCAGATGATTAGTTCAGCATAGTTAAAAGCCCCTGAGAACACAGCCACACTATGAGTTGCACACCCCAGCAGGCAGCAATACCACCCTCACCCTGTAGTGCAAACGTATTTGCTCCCAGCTTGCAGATCAAGCGGTCACAAAGAACACAGGGAATTACTTTTCAGCGATTGCAGGGGCGCGTTCTAAAACCAAGAAAGAAACATAATAAAGATTATAACTCTTTACTGCCAGCAAGGTGATGCACACAATTTCCCTCCTGGCAGTCATGCTCTGCATATTAGTGCCCGCACATATTGACAGCAGCACTTGCATCTCAGACTGCCCGCCTAATAAGGCCAGGAGGAGAAAAGTGGTCATGCAGCTGATTAAAAGGAAAAGGAAAGCCTTGACTTTAACTGAAGTCTGAGCTAGCACTTGGGTTTCTAAAGAGGAAAGCCTCAAAAAGTCCTCCCTTGTCCAACCTCCCCACCTCTAGTCAGTGGACCGCACTAAACACATTCAGATTTACTGTCTTTCCCAAGCACCTCATTAAACTAAAGGCAAATATGGTACACATAAATCACGTCATAACAAAGATCAGGCCTTTCGCTACTCTCTGAAGTTTATTGACCCAAATTCACCCCAAAGGTTTTTCAAAAGACAAAACTGCACATCAAATGTTTAGCTGCTCAGTGAAGTTAAAGCTGTTTAACGAATCACTATTAAGAAAAATTGCTTTGACATTAGCTATAACACACAGCAATAATTCACACAGCCCTGGCAATGCTGCGAGTAACCCCCTACAGCAACAAAAATAAACCAAAACTGGGGAGTGGAGACCCAACTCCTTGCACTATGTGAGAGCTTCCCAAAACACGCCTTGCAGGCCCCCCCAGGACCAGGCGCGCTGGAGGGGATACTTCCTTCTCCTGCGCCTTTCCCTGCAGGAAAAGGTTTATTTCCTAAGAAAGAAATTCCAGTATTACCGCAGGGGCCCGGGGGACGGAGAAGCCATAACAGAGCACCCCGAGCCCCCTGCGTGCCGGAAAGCCCAGTTCCCCGCGGGCAGCAGCTCTCCCTCAGCTCCGAGGCCTGGGTCTCCTCCGCCCCCGGGTCGCCTCAGCCCCCG